GGGGGGGGGGGGGAGGTACTTGTAGCGTCTTGAAAGCGGCCGGTGCGTCTTGTTTGAGGTTTGCCGAGACGAGTTTGTGAAGCGTCGTGATGCCGAAGTCACAGGCCACGTAACCTGATGGAGAGCGGATGAGCTCCAAATCCTCCGGAGAGCGCGCCTCGTCACACCCAAGGGTAATCCTGACAAAACGACACGCACAGAGAGAGCATATCGTTATTTGAAGGCAAGCCAAACCTCTGTACCATGCACTCGAGTGCATGGACGTACCCGGGGAAAGCCACCCGGAGAGCGTCTAGCTGCAGCAGGATTGGGTCCGGCGTGTAGTAGTAGAAGAGGATGGGATAGTCCCGCTGCACACTCAGCAGCACGCGGCTGTAGGGCGTGAGCGTGGGGCTCACCGCCGTGTCGCCCACATACTGAATCTGCACACAGACAGACAGAAAATTCACACATAACACCTACACCTCTCTCTCTCTCTCTCTCTCTGTGTATGTGTGTGGGTGTGTGTGGGTGTGTGGGTGTGGGGGGATACCTCATAGTTCAGCTCGTTGTTTTTGATGAGCTGTTCGATCCGTCCCTTATCGTAGCCAGGGGTCACGTGATCATCTCTCTGCACGTCACATTGCCGCCCTTGCAGGAAGGCGGGATGTACCTGCACTGACACAACCAACATACACAAAGAGGAGATGCTGATCGTCGATCGATCGATCGATCACCCACACCCACCTGCCGTTTTCGCACCAGTCCACCCCAGTCCGGTCGCACATGTCGTTGCCATCGGGAAAGAGGTCCTGACACGCACACACGCGCCACACACACATACATGGCCGATGGATGGCTGCAGACACACACATCTGTTTTGACGGTTCCTGTGGGCGGGAACTGTTCAAAGATGAACTCGTTCTTGTGCGACCTCCACCAGTCGGGCGACTGCAGCTCGTGACTGTCAAGGAAAGACGTCGGGCCAAGATGGATACCTGCACCGACCAACAAGGCAGGCAGGCATCCACACAATACATGGTGCTTTGGTACATCTGACAGTGTTGGTTGTTGTGTGTGTCTCACCTCACCTGATCTACCGTCGTATCCGGTGCTGCCTACGTCGATGACCTTTTTGTCGGTGAGCACGTAGTCTCGATACAGAGAAGACGCCTCGTTGATCTGCCAGTTCTCTGGGTGCACCACAGACAAACAGGGGAGGGAGAGACAGAAGGTGTGTGCGTGTGAGCACTCATCAATCGTCTGCTTGTCTCTTACCTACATCGACTTCATACACTACAGCAGGGTGCTCCTCTACCCAGAGACAAACACAGACGCATCCAGGCCTGTTTATTTGCTCTCGCTCTCGCTCTCGCCCTCTCTCTCTCTCCCCCCGTCCCTTTATGTGGCTCTGTGCGTGTGTGTAGGGTGTGTGTCTACTTGCGAGGTGTTGCAGCACCAGCTCACTGTTGCCATTCGCCACCAGACGCACTGGCTGGCCCAACACCTCATCCTGACAATCCATCCATCCATCCACCATGCAGCCCTTCCTGCAGGTGCGTGTGCCCACAAGTGCACTCACTGACCAGCAGTATATAGTAGACGTACATCATGATCTCATAGCTCAGCCAGCTCCTCTTGGCTATCCTCACCACGTAGTCTGCACACATACAAACACACAAGAAAAGACGCAAACCACACACACACGCACACACGCGGGCTAGGGAAACCAAACACTCATTCCAATGCACTGCAATCATTCCCCCCATCTCATTGCCTGCTTATGCGTGGCATAGGGGCTCTTCCTCACCGCCACCGACGCATTCAGGCACTTGGGTAGAGGCTCCTCTTGACACGCAACATCATGTACACAGACCCACAAAAGCAACACGAGCAGGAGGCGGGGACTCATGAGACGATCAAAGGACGGCGAAAACAGGCCAGCCACCATTGCAAACATGAGATGTCCTTCCAAGAGATCATCCCCCGCGAGCTTAGCTCGCAAACTCTTTACACCAACCGTCGTTGCATCGACGGCGCCTTCGTCAGTTACCCCCTCTTGATCTTCAGACTCGTTTTCAACTGTATGATGCTACTGTTGCGCCCGTATACTTGTATGGCAGTGAGCTATGGGCGGGCAATAAGTGTGACGCGTTGGAGCGTCTCCATCGTAACTATCTGCTTTCTTGCATGCGCGTGACACGCCGCGTCTCTACTGATGCACTACTAACTGAGCTGTGCCGCTTTTCGGTTCTGTTTGAGGCCCGCTGGCGTCAGCTGTCTTTCTATATTCGCGTACGTAATCGTCGAGCGGGTGTCTTGGCTGAGAAGGCATTCTTTGTCGCACAGAATGCGTATCGGTGCGCTACTGGCTTCTCTCGTATGCAACGTGACAGTGCCTATATGCATTTCCACAGAGACAATGGCTTTTCCTTGTTCGCGCCCGAGAGATCTGGCGCTAAACCACGGCCGCGTGTTTCTCAGCTTGGTCCTCTGACCGAGCCTGAGGTGAAAACACTTCGCTGTGCCCTCACAAAGTCTGAATTCGCTCGAATCTTGGAAAAACGTTGGGCTCATGCTCGCGTCCCTAGCTTGCCTGCTACTCCCTCTCTCCCCCCGCCTATCTCTCTAACGGCTCAGGCAGTGTCTTTGCTTCCATGGCGTTCTTATGCATCTGGTCAGACAAGGGTGTCTGGCAGAGCACTTTTTCAAGCACGTAAGCTCCTCTTTGTCCCTGGTTGTCGCCTTTTCAATCATTCCTTTCCCGTGTCATTCCCACGCTTGCATCGTTCCTTTGCTCCTCCTCTGCGTGAGTGCCGGTGTGACCTTGACTCGCTCGTGTGCATGGCATCATACGTGCCAGCGCAGTCATATATGGAAGTGCTTCAGCATGGACAAGATTGGCTGCATCGGCTTATCCAGCCGCTGCCAGCCTTTCTGCCATACTTAGCACTCCCTGCACACCAGCGGCGTGTGCTTTTTCTCTTCCGTACCGGTTGTCATCCGTCTGCTCTCATGGATGGCCGATTGATCGACTGTCCGCGAGAATATAGATCATGTGCTTACTGCTCGCATCGTAATGATCTGTTGGTTTCGGTCCGTGATGTCGGTGGTCATAGTGTGCCTCGTCCTCCAGTAGAGGATGAGACACACATACTTGTCTCGTGTCCTCTGTATTCTACATTGCGTCACGCACTTTTCTCCACCATTCATAAGTATGGTATTACCGCCCCTGATGCTTGTAACTACAAGCGATGGAGCAAGGCGCACCCTATAGTTTTCACTACCTCTCTGCTGCAGTCAGATAAGCTACCGCTCCTTTCAGCAGTTGCAGACTTCCTCCTAGCTGCACACAAGGAGCGGGCTCGCTGGCTTGCACTCAATCCATCTCTCCCACCCAGTCAGTTTGATGGTGAGTATGACTTCATATATGAGTTGCATGAGATGGAGCAGTGGGTGCTTGACGCTGACTTGTCAGACTAGCACCCACTGCTCCATGGGAAGGGCAGATAGGCCTTGTGCATGCATTCTGCATGTGCCTGTTGCCTGTTTGGTGTGTGCTGTGGACAGAGAAGATGCCTGGTTGCGCCGGAAGGTAGCGCCGGGCTTAGGGACAGGTGTCTCGTCAAACCCTTAACCAACCAACCAAAGCGAGAGGTTCCCGCGCAGCTCAAGATCTATAGCTTCAGCGCCGCTCGGCCGGGCACTTCGTCGAATCCCCGTCCGGGCTCGTGCAGCAGGTGCGACACCGATTGGATTGCATGAGTGCAATTGCATGAGTGTGTTGCCTGCTCTCACGCTTGCCTAATGGCACGCTTGTCATCCGTGTGCTTTTCACCTCAGTTACCCTTTCTAAGCGTCTGTTCTTGGGTTCGCCTGCACCAAGATGGACAGCGCTGCCTCGAGCGCTGCTGTACCGTCACAGCCGCCTCAGGTACCATGGGGCACGAACTGTCAGGCACGGATGCGACCATTCGTCATCAAAGAGACATGCATGCATGCTATGTGTCTGGTGTGTTTGTGTTGTGCTGCAGGGAGGAGGTGATGCGCCCACTGCCGATGGCTCGTGTGCTCCTGCATCTGCATCTACTGGTGGGGGCGGTGGTAGTGCTGCTGCTGCTGCAGCTGCTGCTGCCTCCGAGCGGCAGGTGCAGCTGGACGGCATTGACATTTGGTTCCCGCCCAACACTGCCGAGGCCTCCAAGGAGCTCACCGTCCGACTAATGCGCCGCACCATCGGCCGCAAGGGCATCCGTCGACTCAGCGCAAAAGGCGCCGATCCCAATTTGGTCATCCGCCTGCTGCCCAAGGGCGTGGCTGCGTCGCGGGTGGTGCGCATCAGCAAGGTGAGCCTCCTGGCCCTCGCCATCGACGACCCGCACGGAGCGGGGCCGTACATGTGGATCGTCGACCCGAGACGGTTCGCCGGATCGCATCCGCGTGAGGAGAGGCTGATGATGCTGCCGACGTGGGCCACACGACGGATGCAGACGGAGGTGTTGGAGGCGCTCATCGTTGCCGGCGCCAACCCATCGGCGTACCGGTGTGGGCGCATCGGCAGCAGCAACCGCGTGCGATACACCCCGATGAAGGTGGCCATGTGGTCGGCCAACATGGAGGCCCTCGAGGTGCTGCTGACGCACAACGTGCAGGTGGCGGGCGAGCGACTGGCCTTCCTGCCCCGCATTGCCAGTGGCGTCCCCAAGCGGCACGACTGCAACTACCTCATCCACGTGTTCCGTGTGTATTGCCGGCTGCTGCACTCTCACCCGGAGCTGGCCAATGAGACGGACGGTGGGCAGCAAAACCCCGCCCATCGACTGGCCAGTGCCATTCCCGACTACGGCTGCAACTTTGCCCCCCACATGCTCAACCTGCTCGAGTTCCACGGCGTGGACCTCGCCGCTGCCGATGCCGAGGGCAACACGCCCCTCCATCTGGCAGCCATCACGGGCGCCATCTTCACGGTGATGCAGCTCTGCCAGCAGCTCCCGGCCGCCGACGTCGACAAGCCCTCGGCAGTGACCCACCTGACACCCATGGCGAGCGCTGCTCAGTCACTGGCTGAGGAGATAGAGCGCCACACGGCTCTCAGCGAGGAGGAGAGGAAGACGCAGACCCGACTGGCCGACCTCATGTCGCTGCACAGCCAAGTCATCCGCCGGCTGCTGTTCTGCGGCGCATCCATCGACAACATGCCCAACACCACGGAGGAGGACCAGAGGCGCCGTGCTGTGGTCAAGGGCCTGTACACACGCACCCTCAACGTCCTGCCGTATCGGGTCATGGACTGCGTCAACGAGGCCCTCGCTCCCCAGCGTGACGCCGCCACCCTCATGGCTCGCATCCTGCCCCTGGTGGAGCACAACGACGAGAACCCCTCCCTCCCCAATCCGCCCTCCCCCTCCCCCCTCTCATTCGGCCCACAGGAGTCCTCAGCCATCGCATGGCACATCGGGGCCTTCCTGCACGAACCCGAGGCCATCAATGCCGTTTTCGTCATGAAGGACGACACGCCGAACGGCCGCCGTCTGCTCGACGACATGCACAAGTTCGTCAACTTGGCCGCCACACGGACGAGCGGCAATCGAGAGGTGGTGGGCGGCGTGATCGAGGGCGAGGACGGGCAGCAGGTGCGCATCCCCCACCTGCAGTGCTTCGTGCTGGGCGACGTGGACGGCCGTCGGGTGGGCCTACGAGAGGTGGTCCACAAGCTGCGGCTGGACGAGGTGCGCAGATTTGGCCTGAGTGGTGTGGTGAAGGGCTTCAACAACGAGGCGGGCGACGAGGGGTGTGTGTTCGACGGGGGGCAGCTGGGGTTCGTCGACAAGGAGGGCGCCTATCAGTCGCTGGGGATGCAGTAGACAGACAGACAGACGGACAGATAGATAGCTAGGAGGGGATGGGTGGTGTGTCGATAGTGTGAATAAATCGGTATGAGATGGGACGGAGGCAGGCCGTTTGTGTGCTTGAGGGCCTTTCGAAGCAAACGTTGCGAGGGTGTTTAGTGTGTTTAGGCAAGCGCGAGACAGTCGGCCGACAGGAGCGAACAGCAAGACGGGAGGGACAGATGGTGAATCGGCGGCTGCGTGTGCTGCGTGTCTAGTTGATGTGTTCTTCACACACACACGGCTACCTGTCTGCCTGCCTGGAGGGCCTGCCTTGCGTGTCCACTACATTTTGTTCGCGGCGTGAGGCTCACACCGGCGGCATTTAGTGTTTTAACCATGATTACTTCCGGCGTGTGTTCCATACATACAGAGTTTCTGTAGACTTACGTGTTCATACGAAGGCGAAGAAGGCAGGGCAGGCGGGCTCTGACTGGCTGGTCCGTATCCAATGTGTGCATGCATGGCATGATGGTTGCGGTGCAATTTTGGCTTCACATGTGAGACATGTTGGTAAAGAGACAAGTGGCATGCCTCGAATGTGTCCATCCCTGCTCCAGACGGCCGCACACAGACGTACGCAACGCAACCTGTGCATGCACCGCACCTCCTCAATCCTTCCCTCCTCAGTGTAGAGGCAGGCAACACGCACGGTAGGTAACGGACAGACGCCAGCCACCGGCTATATTGAGTCGCTGTGTTTTCAGCATGTTTGCTCCTCGGTGGCCATCCAAACCCACACCACCGTTGGTTGCATCAATTGTTGACTTGTGAAGGATTCAAATCCATCATTGACCTACCTGCTCTTTCCCCTCGATCTATGTAGCATAAAAGTCACAGTCAGGCCACACACACACACACACACACACACAAACAAACCAGCGGAAAGCCGGCCAGGCACACGAGCGATAGACAGACAGACTTGATTCACAAATCAGTGAATGAAATCGAGATCACTCAGGCACGTAGCCATCACCTCTTTGGCAGCAACTACTGCAGCATTCGCGAAGGAGCACAAAGCAAGGGGGTCGGTATATAAGAACATATTTCTCGCCCTCTTCCCTCCCACATGCACTCGCACACGCACTCTCTAGGTCTCGCTTGAGCAAAAGTGATTGACAACATGGCAATGATGATATTGACAGCAGGCCCCTCTCTCCCTCCCTCTCAGGCAGACAAGACACGTTTGGGTGATTTGAGTGAGAGAGAGTGAGTCAGTCCGGTCCCTTGGCTTCGCAAGGGCCGCACCTGTCCTCCGCCCCGTTCCTCTGCCCCGACTGGTCACGCTGGCTGTGGTGGTGGTGATGGTGATGCTCGGAGTGGCCCAACGGGCCTGTAAGCGACATACACACATACAGGCAAACGTGCGAACAATACACACACATGGATGGATGGATGGATGGATGTGCCGTGTGCAGTGGGAGAGGGTGCGGTGTGTGGTGCGTACGGTCGGGGCATATGACGTCTCGGATGAGTGTCTTGAGCTGCATGCGACACAAGGAAAGAAATGGAGGGAGGAGAGGACGATATGACACCGCTTCCTCCATGCAGCGAGCGTCATTTGTGGGGATCTTTCGGTTCGTTTGTGGGTACCTACCTCTTTGGCTTCAATGAAGTGGCCGCCCTTCTCGCGGCTGAAAACTATCACACCGTTGCACCTGCGCACATCACATGAGCAGACAGACGACACACAGATCTGTCAGCGATGCTTCTCTGCAGTATTCTCTTCTCTACCTGATGACGAAGACGCCCCCTGGAGGATCATTGTTCGGAATCAGCGCAACCTCGCCAATGTCCTTCTGCACAGGCAGATCACACACGCCAGCAACAACACCACACAAAGAGATGCAGGGACGCCATCGAGGCGAGCGGGATACTGCGTAGGTATCTCAGTTCTCACTGCGAATGTCGAGAGCAGCTCCTGCGCCATCCAGGCTGCACGAAGCATCCATCTGCACCCCACACAGTACCTGCGCACACGCCACAACCGCACCGCACAAAGACAAACTCACACATGTATGTATGCAGCAACGCGTTGGATCTTTGTGTTTTCCTCACTCTATCTCAATCCTGGGCTCCGGCATTCTTCGGCGCACGTACTTTCCTCTGCTTCTCCTCTTCAACTCAAGGCTAAGCTTGCAAACGCCAGCGATCGTTCGGCGATCGCCGAGGAGTTGTCTGCACCAGCGAACCCGGCGAGGACCACAGCCTCCCGCAGCAGCCAAGACCATAGCCTGCCAAGCACCAAGAATGAAGACCCTCGCTGCCCTCCTCTCGCTTGTGGCTGTTGCCGCCTTCCGCCCTCATCCCGTGTCGGTGCATGAGCGTTCGCCTCTCAGATCCCGGTTCCGCACTCTGCCTCGCACCCTGACGACGCGTATGCAGCTGGCGCCCCTGCAGGGGCTGGCGGAGGTGTCCACCGCGGACCTCAAGATGAGGCTGCTGCAACTCGCAGCCTCGACCGACAGAGGCCAACAGGTGCGGATGCACACTGACTGATGCACACACGTGATTCGTGGGCTGATGATCTCTTTATCTGCCGTCACGCTGTGCCTCGCGCTGTCTGCTGTTGTGTGCTGTCGGCTGGTCACGTTGCAGGCGACAAAGCGGCAGAAGGAGCAGATCAGCAATGTGGTGGATGATCTGAGCAGCCGAGGTCCGTTTGACTGCTCACCCGGCATGCTGAACGGCAGCTGGGTGCTGGTGTACGCGTCGGCGCAGCTGTTCCGCAGCAGCCCGTTCTTCCTCTCTATCCAGGCCTCGTACGACGACTCCAAGAAGGCCTCACTCTTCTTCAAATTGCACGAACTGCAGACGAGATCATGGGGATTTAGGTACGCACACACACGGACACATATCATGATGGTAGGCATCCAGTCAGTCCTTTCTGTGTGTGTGTGTGACGCAGTGAGATTGCCCAGGTGGGCCAGACTTTGCTCTTCCCCGAGGCAAACAGCACCGACGGCCGGCTGCGGAGCGATTTTAACATCAAGGTGCTCCCCAGCACTGTCGTGCCTCTCGTCGGATGGTGGAAGGTACAAAGCACACACGCACGCACACACGCATGCGCACACAGCAGATGGATCCATGCGGCTGATTGTGCTGTATGCTATCACGTTTTCTTCATTCAATGTGCACAGCTGCTGCCGACGTTCGGTGGCAACGTGCGGTCCATAGCCAACGCCAGCATCTCGGGAGACGCCAACCAGCACCTAGACCTCACCGTCGACCTCACCAAGGTCAAGGCCAGCGAGGACCTCCCTCTCATGCCGCTGCTGGGGCAGTTCCTGGCCGAGCAGACGGGCATCCGTGTGTCGAATGTGTGGAAGCGGCTGAGAGGCAGCGTGCCGACTGCACGTGTGACGCACGTGTTCGTCGACTCGGGAATGAGGATCGCCAAGGACAGCCAGGGGGAGGTGTTCGTCTACGTGCGGGATGTCGACGACGACTTTGATGACCTCGGTGCCACTGCGGGGGTGGGTGACGACCTCGATGAGCGAGAGATCCCGATTGAGGGCAATGGGGAGGAGCTGACCGTCCCGATAGAAGGAGAGGGAGACGTCAAGGAGGCGGAGGAGAAGAAGGCAGTACAGTCGGCTTAGGAAGGAACTAGGAAGGGAGGTGTCTGATGGGCAGTTTTGTGTCGGGTGTTGCGCCCTCTCTCGCTGACTCCTCCATCCTTTATGTGTGTGTGTGTATGCGTGTGTAGTCACTATTCCCTCACTGCGTAGCCCAGCCCCCCCATCCTACCTATCTCCCTGCCTCTCTCCTGTCTCCCTGTCTGATGCACGGTCCATAATTACGCCATACATAGGGGGGGGGGGGTGTGTGTGTGTGTTGGAGTTTTTGGTCTGTTCTTGTCGATAGTGGGTGAGTGATGCGACAGACATTGGCGACACAGATGCATGGCATCGACGAGTCCACTTAACAGCCATCACGGAGTCATCGAAACTGGCACAGGCAGGTGACTCCTCGAGCTCTTGCACCACGCACACTCAGAGGCTGGGTGTCCGGTGCTGGCCAGCACGTAGACCGACCAGCATACACCACCCTCAGCCAGACACAGCGCACTCAGCAGACCGGGAAAAAACGAGATTCAACTCACCGTCTCACCTCCGTTTCAACGAGTGTTCTAGAGAGAGCACATTCATGGTGGCCACCCTGCCCACCTTTCTTCACTGGAGGGCCGAGAACCTTGCCCACTGTCTCTGATTACATCTTTCTCCCCCCGCCCATAAATGGATGCCTCTCAATCAATGGCCCATCTCATGCGCATGGTCATCAGTGGCTGTGGAGCTCGTCCATCTCGTCAGGGTCACACGAGCCAGGCTCCTCGCCATTGGCATCATCATCACACCCCTCGTTGTGATCCCCCAGCAGCACCAGGGCTGAAAGGGCAGCTTCCTCCGCCTTGGCAGCTTCCTCCGCCTTGTAGGCCGTCCTGCGTCGCTTGATTTCTCGCCTTGTCGGGCGTCCACGGGGGTGGCGTGAGGCGGTGCGTTTGATGAGGGGGCGTGGCCTGGTGTAGGGGTTGAATTCCGGCGACTCATCCCCTCGGTCTTCTGTGGCCTCACTGCCGGCCAGGAAGCCAAACGCACCATCCGTTTCTGCCACACACACACACACACACACACAGAGAGAGAGAGAGAGACAGAGAGAGAGAGAGACGGGCAAATGTTAGTTCGATGCGCTGAGGTGCGTGTTGCGTCGGTCTCCTCACCATAGTCATCAAAATCCCTCTTCTGGATGTTCCTGCGGCTCCGCCCGACGACCAGCCACTCGCCGTCCTCACGACTGTACCATCGCGGCCTGCGGGCCGCGGGGGGCAGGCTGGACAAGGCCGTGGCCGAGGCCTTGCTGCTGGTAGTTGGCTGCTCTTGCTCCTCTCTCTCTTCCTGGTCGACGTCTATACTCCCGATGTCGTCATCCTCATCTTCGGCGGGGTGGTCTGAGGTGTCCTGGCGACTGGCGCGGAACAAGGCCGCCTTGTGAGGACGCTCCTTCTTGTCGCCCCGAGGGCGCTTAGTGGTGGTGCCGGACCCATATGGCAGCAGGCCGTCAGGGAGTGGGGGTGGAGGGGCGATGGGAAGGGACCCCTCACCGGCAACGCTGGACAACGAAAGGAAAAGGGCAGCGGATCAGATCAGACGGAACAGATGGATGAAGTATGGCAAGACTGGCCGGCCGGCCAGCTGTGTGTAAGGTGCGTCAGTCACCTGCCGAGGGCATTGCTGTGGTGTTTGGCGTTGGGGCTGACGGTGCCGGCGGTGGTGGATCCGTCCTCCTCGCGGCTGACCATGGGGGGCCGACTGCACACAGACAGACAGCCACACACACACCGCACCGACAGACACGGCAGCGTGTTCGTTTGTGTGATCTGATCTTGCCTAGGTATGGGTACCCAGCCCGGCGACGCACAAGCAGCATTTCTTGCCTGACTTACGTGCGGAGGACTGATACACGCTTCGATATCCCCGACTCAGCCCTGCACCATCCATTCATCCGCCCGCCACACGAGATCCAACACCACTCCCGGCCCTCGGTCGATGCGATGTCTCCCTCTTGCCTTATTTGTCTGTCATTGCTCACCTCCCTAGTTCCCCCGCCAGGACAGCGTTCTTGTATGCCTCACTGGTTCTGTCGACCATGGGCATGAGGTGGTCTGCCTCGACCATCTGTGAGTATCTGCTGTGGAGGTAGCACTCCTCCTCGGGCAGCCACGGGAGGCCCTGACGAGTGCACCCGGGGGGGACTGATAAGTGGATGCGATCAACAGACAGACAGACAGAGAGACAGTGTGCAGTGGCCCTTCCTTTCTCCCGGCCGGCCCTTCGTTGCTCGCCAACCTGGGAAGGTGACGTTGTCCTCATTGCCACGCCCATCCCAACTTGGGGCATGATGGCTGTCGTTCGCCTCCTCCATCGCACCGTCGACCTGCATGCCATGCGATGGAAACCAACAGGCGTGCAAACACATGCACCCATACATTCCACAGGTCTGTTGTGTGCATGTGCTGTGGATAAGGCAGCCCACCCCCACCCACCTTAGCTCACCTTGTCCTCAACCCACCTTAACCTCCTTGTTTATCAAAACACACCTGCAAACCGCACCAAGACGACAACGTGACTGACATGAGAGGATCTTTTGGTTGAAGATCTTTTGGCGCCGGTGGAGCGTCGTGTGTTCTTGCCTGTCTGTGTGTTCTCCCGCCCTGTTGCCCGGCTCCGTACAGGATACATACCGGCGAGAGTGAGAAGAGGAAATCGATGAATGATCTGCTGCGTCAAGCCTTACAGTCACACACGAGGGAGGCGCCTTGCTCTGCTGGAATAATACACCCCTAATGATACACCCCTACTCGCGCAGGGTATCCACATGCGAGCTAAGCTCGCAGGTGGCGAAGGAGAGACCCCTCCTGCTGCCGACGCGGGAAGGAAGAGAGGCAACAGGCACACGCAGAATGCATGCACAAGGCCTATCTGCTTTTCCCATGGATGACAAGCATGATGAGTGTGATGACGGCGGGAGGAGATCTGAGCAGAATGGCACGTTGGCGAATGAGATGGCCTGCAGCCATGATGCCGGTGACGCCGAAGGAGGGATGTGGGACGAGATCTCTGACGAGGACCTGCGCACATGTACCAAGGTGAGTCGAGTCACAGACGCTCACACCGACAGCAATTGAGGGCGGACACGCAGACATAACTGATGATAATGATACTATGCCTCTCTCTTTATCCATCTATCCATCCATCCATCAGGTGTTGGAGGCCTTCTCTCGTCCTCCGCCCACCCCCTCCCCTGCGTCAGATCCACCCCACTCACCCCACCACCGTCACACCCACCAGCATGTGCAGCGTCGCCTCACTCACTGGCGCTTCAAGGGCCTGCGAGCGGCACTGGCGCCCATGCTGCAGGAACACACTGCTGGACGGGTGCTCCCCAACCTCAAGAAGATGGACGTCGAGGAGGTGAGCGAGCAGACCTCTCTGTATTAATGGCCAGCTGTGTGTGCGTTATGTTGTCCGGCTCTTTTCAGCGTCGGCAGGCGGAGAAACGCGCCAAGCGTGAGCGACGGGCGGCAAAACTGCAGGCCGACCGGCACTTGATCAACAGCGCGTCGCTGCGGTACGAGCGGCTGCAGAAGCTTCATTCCCTCCAGCAGCAGCCCCTCACCGACACCGAGACCACCGCCCCTGCGCTGCCCCTCATCCCCGATGGCGTGGCCAGGGGCAGCAGCAGCAGCAATGCGGTGAATGGAGGGGCGACGATGATGATGATGTGTGACGTGACGGAGGGGGGCAAAGGCCAGGGGGGGCAGCAAGAGGATCAGCAGGGGGATGGAGGTGAGGATGGTGGTGAGGCTGACGGCGAGTTGTACAGGCTGAGAGCGTGTTACATCTGCAAGGCCAAATTTTCGACATTGCACCACTTCTACGATAGGCTCTGTCCGGTGAGTGAGCTGCCTGCCTGCCTGCGCTCCATTATGTCTGTGCTGTGTGGTGGTCTGTGTTGTGTTCAGCCGTGTGCGTCGTTGAACTGGTCCAAGCGGCATCAGGCGTGCGATCTGACCGGCCGCACCTGTCTCGTCACCGGTGGACGGGTCAAAATCGGCTTCCAGGTCAGTCAGGTCACATGAGCAACTAAGTGGCTTCTGCATCTCGTCAGTCAAGACACCAACACACCCATCCCATCCTGTGCTGTCCTGCTTGTTGTTCAGACCGCATTAAAGCTGTTGTGTGCAGGCGCGTTTGTGATAGTGACGACTCGGTTCCCCCACGATGCGGCCCGGCGGTACAGTGCGGAGAGCGACGCGTGTGAATGGCAGGGGAGGCTGCACATCTACGGCCTGGACCTGCGGCAGCTGCCGCATGTCGACGCATTCTGTGAGTTCATCAAACTGCGACACACCAGGTGTGTGGGGGGGATGAGGGGTGAGAGGCGAGAGGTGAGAGGGAGAAGTGACCGACCATACGATATGTGCGTGTGTTGGTTCCTTCCTGCGCTCAGATTGGATGTGCTGATCAACAATGCCTGTCAGACGGTGCGCCGGCCCGTGGCTTATTACCGGCACATGATGGAGGGCGAGAGAGCTCACGTCAACGCACAGGAAACGCCCTCGCCCTTCACCAAGCTCCAGGCGGCCCTGGAGGACCACTGGTCCAGCTCCCTCCGTCCCCCCGCCGCATCCCCATCCACCCCCACAGCCACAGCCACATCCACTGCCATCGCTCGGCTGCCCGCAGACGGCCACCTGAGCGCCGCCACTGTCCCCGCCCCGCACCACGACAGCGCGGCTCTGTCGCAGGTGCCACTGACTATGGAGGACTGGGAGGTGCGTCGGGGCGGTGGTGAGATGGCGGTGCTGCCGGAGGGGAAGTATGACGTCAACGCGCAGCAGGTGGACCTGCGCACCGTCAACAGCTGGTTACTTAAAATCAATGAGGTGAGAGAGGGAGAGGGAGGGGGGGAAGGGGAAGGGGAGGCGTGCTTGCTTGCTCGCCTGATGTGTGTGTGTGTGTGTGTGTGTAGGTGGAGACCCCCGAGCTGATGGAGGTGTTTGCCATCAACGCGATGGCGCCCTTCATACTCAACGCCAAACTCAAGCCGCTCCTACTCAAAGCCACACCCCTGCACCCACAGACACACCAGCAGCAGCACACGGCACTCTCCCACCCAGCACCCCCACCTTCCTCCCTATCAGCAGCCATGCAAGCCGGCCAGCGGGGCGCGCTGCCCAACACCGAGGGCTTCAGACAGTACTACGGCGGCAGTGTCAGCGGTCGTGTGGACAACGAGGCGTACATCGTGAATGTGAGTGCGATGGAGGGCAAGTTCCATCGCTACAAGGGCGCCAACCACCCGCACACCAACATGGCCAAGGCGGCCCTCAACATGATGACACGCACAGCGGCCAAGGAATACGCCGACCAGGGCATCTACATGAACGCCGTGGTGCGGGGGCGGGGCGGGCGGGGGAGAGAGGAGAGGAGCACGGCGCGGGCAGCTGGATCGGTGTCCGTGTGGTGTGTGTGGTGGGTGTGTTGTGTGTGGTTTAGGACACTGGGTGGATCAACGACGAGAACCCTCTGCCGAAGGCCAAAGACATCGCAGATAAACACCACTTCCAGGCACGCAACGACACACACTCTACTGTTCATTCTCTCGTGTGCGTTGCTGCACACGGTTGGGTGTGTATGTGTGTGTGCAGACGCCGATAGACGAGGTGGATGCGGCTGCCCGCATCCTGGACCCTGTGTGGGTGGGCCTCATGACCGGCGACAGGGCGTACGGGCGGTTCTTCAAGGACTACTTCCCGAGCGAGTGGTGATCATGGCAATGCATTGGCAGGCAGTGCCTCCCCCCGTCTATGAAGCGTTTTGGTGGTTTGGTTTGGTTTGGTTTGCATGCCTTGCAGTGGTTGGTGCGTGCGGTGTGACCGTGTACAGTGAGTGCAGTGTGTGCTGTGGTTGACGGGGAGGGCAGGCAGACCTCTCTCTTTTGACAGACACTTTGTCAATGATTCAAACGACGTTCCGTTCTGTGCTATCTATCGTGTTGATCACATGCAGCCAGAGTCATTACTATTGTTATTGCATGCCTTAAACTGGTTGATGTTGTCGCGTGCAATGGTCTGTCTGTCTGTCGGCATGTCCACCACTTGACGGAGAATCTCTCCCTACTTGCCATGCCACCACCACACCACGCCACTCCACCCCTGACAGACACGCACGAACCAACCAACCAACCAACCACCAGAGAGGACGGACACACATCATGACATATATATCGCGGCCGACAAACAAACAAAGCCACATGTGTCAGGCAGGCAGGTACGCGCCATTCACACACATCGCGATGCACGAGCCATGCCCTCCCTGTCCACTATATATCCCTTGGTGGCAGCGCACAACACAACAGACAGACAAACTTGATGGTTCGATGTGTGTGTGCGTATGAGAACGCAGCCCCGAGCATCGCCACAGCTCTCTATCGGTCATGTCCACACACACCAGTCGCCCAGCTCCACACACGCCTCACGACCACCGCGCCACCCACTGCCCTCACATCACACACACGTCCGTAGCTCACAGCAGACGACCCGCATCTGCAGACAGACATGAGTGCTCACACGCATGTCGAGAGCATATGCATGGGCAGGACCTACGAGCGAATGCATGACAGGCAGGCAAGGCAGACACTCAGACAGGCAATCAGCTGCAGGCTACCGAGCTGCAGTGCGCATGCCACCCACCCAGACCGCTCAGATGCTACAGCATGTACACCACCTCATAGATCTCTCTCTCTATCCACCGATTTCTTTGAGGAACTTGCTGTGGTCCATCGCCATGGAGTCGCGGAAACACTCCACCTTCCCGGGCGCCTCCTACCTGCCATACAGGCACAAACCAAAAACAGACAGACAGGAAACGATGCAACGCACACAAGCCTCGTGTGTTTCCATGCACTCTCCTCCAGCAGCGTACGCACAGGAGTCGCTTGAGTGCGTTCTGCGAGCAGCCGAGCGCCTTGCTATATGCCGCGAGGAAGGTCATACCGCTGCGGTGGAAGTGCCCACCCCCGCTGCCGTTGGCCGCCTCGAGAATCATGTCCTTGGGCCAGCCGACATAGATCGAGAGGCTCTCGGGGATGGGAGTCGTCTTCCAAGACTGACCGGACATTTTCTGGAGGCTCGAGCTTCTATCCTCGACGTTTGTGGCCCGGATGGCTGGCCCGGTTGGGCGAAGGGAGATCTCTCTCGGTGCGAGGCACAGACGAAAGGTGTAGGCGACGATGTCTTTCGACACAGTAGTCATGATGCAGGGCCACACACAGACACACACACACACACACAGAGGAGTTTGCTTCATCGGGCCAGGGTAATCAATCAAGCGGTCATTCATTGTACACAATCACACACAGCGAGAGAGGGACGGATAGAGAGGGGGTGGTTGGTGCGGTACGGCGGGGGGCCTGGCAGGCCTGGCCTGGCCTGGCCGCTAGAGATACACAGAGAGGTACACACAGGGTAGAGGAAGGACAAACAGCTAAGCTTGCTGCACAAATACCGTCATCGTTCGTTCGTGTCAGTGGTTGGATGCGATGGCCCCCAGACACACACCACACGCACACTCAGAAGTCTGCTTGCTAATGAAGGCATCGCATCACGCTGTATGGATGTGGCTGGCTACGGGACGAATGGCTGGTTGCTGTATACGTGCAGCAGCTGCAGCAGCAACGCCACACCGTAGCCTGTGGCGCGCTCCCCTACCTGAGCGGACAGACACATCACACACACACACACAACGTCCACATGACCGCCCATCGCATGGATCGCATCTGCTGCTGGCTGACCATACCATGGCTGGTGCGCACATGTCGATGTGCAGCCAGCCACCCTGCACACAACCACATGACACCGCATCATCGACAGACATTCCCCGCCCGCCTGATGGCATGCATGGCCTCTATGTGTTGTGTGTGCGCTGTGGCCCACTGACTCACCTCTTTGGCAGTGAATTCCTTGGCTAGGTTAGCCTCGATGAAGAGCCCCGCTGTGGAGACCAATGCGCTGCCCCGGTCCTTGGCCGAATTCTTCATGTCAGCCACCTGCGGACGGACAGACAGACAAGACAGCCAACGTCAGTCATGTGATGTCAGTGTGTGTGTGCGAGTGTACGAGTGTGTGTGTACCTTACCTTGCTGTTGTACTCCTGCAGGTTGAGCTCTGGGGTGTAGATGCAGGGGAACACACAGTCGCCACTCAACTGATGATACGGATGCGGCACACACACCACACACTCCTCAGTGCACAGAAGCCTCCTTCCTCTTGATGAGAGGAGGGATGGAGATTGTGTGTGCGCTGCGCGTACTTACCTTGCCGGCCTCCACGGCCCACTGCTCCAGATCCTCCCTATTGGACACTATTGCGCCGATCAGCCTGCCAGTGGCACTTGACTGCACACAGGACACATGACACAATCACACACACAAGGGATGACCGACACTCCCTCCCTCCCCCAGCAACTTGGCTCCCTCCGTGTGTGTGTGGTGGTCATTGCATTGGTGTGCATACCCACCTGTGCGCCTGTGAGTGTGCACATGTCAACGATGAGTGTTGGGTTGAGTAGCTGGGAAGCGTAGGCCACGCCGTCCGAGACCACCAGCCGTCCCTCTGCATCGGGGTTGTTGATCTCCACCGTCCTGCCGCTGTACAACGTGATGATGTCGTCGGGACGCAACGCATCGGGACCTGATTCATTGGGTCGACAAACGAATGAATGGATGGATGGATGGATCTGCGCGCCGGTGATTCCGTAGGGTGTGTGCGTGTGTGTGTGTACCGATTGCGTTCTCGGCGAGGCAAAGGATGGCTATCAGGTTGTGGCCGAACGTCATGCGACCCTGGTTGGTTGGTTGGTCGCACGGCCGTGCACGGCAGCACACATGAGAGAAGCAGAGACAGACACTTGTGGCGGTGAGGTGAGGGAGGCACTGGTTGGCTGACTGACCTGGACGGCACACACGAAGGCCGTGAGTATTGCACTGGCACCGGCGCAGTCGGCCTTCATCCCAAACATGCCTGATGGATGATGCAAATAAACAGGCCACAGATGGGCGTTGCAGGGTGGTAATCCATCCATCCATCGCTCCATCCATCCATTCATCTGTACCTACCGTCTTTTGATTTGAGTGCCAGCCCCCCGGTATCGTACACAATGCCCTTGCCCACCCACACCAGCGTGCTCGGACCTACACGACACGACACACACACACACAAACAGAGAGAGAGAGAGAGAGATGCGACCCTCACATCCGTGACTTTATTGTGTGCCCCCCCTACCTGGGTTCATCTGTGCCTGGAACGGTGCTGCGTTGCCATGTGGGCAGTACTTGAGCACCACGAAATGAGGCAGATGCGTCGCGGCTTTGCCTGACCGACAGAAGCCGATATGCACACACGTGTCAATCAACAGCCTTACGTACTAAGGGAGGTTTGCTGCCTACATCCGTACCAACATTCCACATGCCGCCGAAGCCCCGCTCTCTCAGGTCGGTCCCTGAGACCACCTGCACCCACCCACCCACCACAGACAGACAGACAATACGGCCAATGCAATCAATGCGCCGCCCACAGGCATAGATCTCCCTCCCTGCCTCCCGATGTGCGTGTGTGCGTGTGTGTATCTCACCTCCATTTCTATGTCGAGTCCGTTGACCATGTCGTGGATGCACTCGAGGTACCTGTCGGTGTGCATCTCTATCGACGGAGTGTCCACCAGGCAGGCCGCGTTCCGCACCGCCTGAGCCACGTGCGACAGCTTCTCGTGCACTTCCAAAGGCAGCAACTCGTCGCTGACACACACACACACACACAACCACCATTTCAGTACTCACTCTCTCTCTCTCTCTCTGTGTGTGTGTGTGTGTGTGCCGCTTCTCTCCCTGGCTGACACACTCAGTCACTCACTTGTGGTACAGCGCGATGGTGACCCGCCCCTCGGCCTGCTGGCGGCTCTTCATGTTGTAGATGGGAAAGTTTCTGACCACGGCCACCAGCATCGGCAGCACGTGCTCCCTGGCCTCTGCGATCAGCAGCACATACATGGCCGGGTGCGGCCCCTGCGTGGCTATCAGCGCCTTGATCTGGTCCGGCCGGCACGCGCAGTTGTGCCGACTGGCCACACGACTGACCGCCATGAGGACCATCTTGGGTTTGTTGGGCCGCCAGTAGACGGCCGCTGACCCGCCACTGGTGCTGTTGCTGGGCGAGAGCTGCGAAGCGTACTGGCCCAGCTCGGCTGCGCAATCGAGCCCGTCCGCACCGAAAAAGTCGGTGTTGTCGATGAAGGTCCCGATGGCCTCCCTGAAGCCGCAGATGCACAGCAGCGTGTCTTTGTTGCATTCCGATGAGGAGAAGGGCGTCACAAGCAGCATCGTGCTGCTGTTGCTGTTGCTGTTGCTGCTTGCGTGGTTGGCCTTGAGCTTGTCAAACAGCTTTCTGCGATGCTTGTTGGCTGACTGGGCTGCCGCCGAGCCTTCACTGTCGTCCGCCGCGGCCTTCCTTTTGCCGTCCATCCATGCGAATGGTGTTCCTCTCTCTCCCACAAAGCTAAGCTCGCAGATCTGGTGCGGAACCGCTCGCACGTGGTTCTGGAGGGGGAAACTGCTCTCTCAAGCGCCTCCCCGACGCTTATCTGGATCATGATTCCTTCAGCCAGGCACTCAGGCAGTGTTGCCTGTCAGCAGCTTGCCCGCAGCTGCCTTCCTGCGGTGCATCATCCTCCACCGCCGTATCTTCGGCCGACTCGCAACCCGTGCAAAGCACCTGCCTTCAGCCGGGAGGCCGTGGCTGGACCGACCCGTGAGGAAGGGATGCGAGCAGTGCCACCGAGGTGGGCTGTCTTCGGGAGCAGTGGAAGCAGGAGGATGTTCTCCAGTGCGGCAACAAGACACTCCAATAAAGGGGGTCAGGCAGCCCACTCACTGGCAGACAGACAGATGACATGAATTGGATTACATGGACGGGGAGGGAGAGGATCCACTCACTCACTCACTCGGTTCTCTGTCTGTCTGTGTGGACTGGACCCCTTGATGCCTTCATTGCAAGCAGATGCTCGTTACTTCACCAGTCCGTCGACCGACATGCTCAAGCAGCTCCGTGACCTCCCACGCGGCGGGGCGCCCCCCAAACCAGCCATCTACGTCAGTGCTGTGCTCAACCAACACATAAACCACTAGTGTAGGAGGGCAGTAGTGCGCCCATGTGCACTCTGTGCGTGTTTGTGCGAATCTAGGTTGGTTGGGTGGAGAAGAAGGACTGCGAGGGAGGCGACGAGTCCATGACCGGCCTAGACATCGTCCCGGACATCCCGATGGCCAGGCCGGACCTCGCCAAACGCCTCGGGGTGCCGGTGCAGGAGGTGCGGCTCGTCGATCCCTCCTTGCAGGACCACATGCCGACGATCTTCGTCCGGCCGAACGCGATTCTCCTTCGGTTCGGCAAGGTCAACGCCATCATCACCCACTGCAAGCTGGCTGTCTTCAAGCGACACGCGGTGGGCGGAGACGGAATCGCTGGATGGATGAATGGATGCGTGGGGTCATAAGGATGGATCTCTTGTCGTGGTCATTGGTGTCAGATGAAGTACTCTTACCTTCCTAGTCTCAAGTATGGTGCTGATCCCGCAGAGGCGGTGCTGGCGGGGGTGGAGATGACGCTCAAGTCGTCCCTGGACGAGGATGTGGCTGAGAGGGACGACTATGATGAGAGCGGCGGCCAGACAACGGCCACCAGGCCATTCGAGTTCCTCTGCCTCGAGGTATTCAATGCAGTCAATCTTATCCCAGTACTGGCAATTGATTGACTTGTCGTCGGCTTCACTGTTGTGCCCGTGTGTGTCTGTGAATGTGCAGGTGTGCATGTCGGAGGCACTCAAATGTGAGTGAGCAAAATGGATGGCACAGAAGGACGGAGGGGGGATGCGGTGCGGTGCCTGGGTGCGCATTCTGTTCCGCCTGACGTGTGCGTGTGTGGTCAGCATACGTCGAGGACGTGCAGCATCTCAAGGTCGCAGTGGACTCACACCTCAAACAACAAAACGGCATGCACACACACACACACACACAAACGAAGGAACCAAACGCCACTTACGCAGCCTCCCCTCTCTCTGTGTGTCTATCAGACCAAGCAATGCCGTCCCTCGAGACGCTTCAGGAGCTGACTCAGGTCAAGACGGAGCTGGCCAACGTGGAGCGGTTCATCCGGGCCATGAAGGGCGCAGTCGAGAACGTCCTGCGCGAGGATGAAGACATGGCCGCCATGTACCTCTCCGAGACAGCCATCAAGTGAGCGAGCAAGATGGAGGGAGAGAGGGAGAGAGGCCGGCAGCACAAGAGACCTTCTTGACCCATGTATGTGGTGTGAGTGACTGTCCGTCAGTCAGCCGCGGGCCAAGTCGGCGCATCAAGAAGTGGAAATTCTCTTCGAGATCTACCAAGGCAGTGTGAGCACTGCATCACGGCCCAGCACCACACGACGCCCGAGAGCCCTTTTACTTACACTCATCTGTCTGCGTCTGTCTGTGTGCATCTAGCTTGAAGAGCTGACGAGTGACGTGCAGAAGATGAAGAAGGACATCGACTACTCCGAGGAAATGATGAAGGTGAGGCTCGACATGACCCGCAACGAGATCATGCAGCTCGAGCTGCGCATCTCCATCATGTCGGTGTCGCTCGCACTCGCCGCTGTCGGTACGGGCGCATTCGGGATGAACCTCACCTCACACATCGAAGAGCACCCTTATGCTTTCTATACCGTCTCAGCCGCGTAAGATCTTAAGCATCGAAAGCCTTGAGGCAGGCCAGGCCGAATGAATGAATGGGCAATGTGTGTGTGTGTGTGCGTGTGTGTGCTGCAGGTTTGCCTGCACGTCGGCGTTCTCCTATGTGCTGCTGACGTTTCTCTGCAAGCGGAGGGGTCTGCTCGGTCGTGCCCTCCGTCTGTGGACGCCCAAGCCAAGCTGGTCGCCAGGAATGTTCTAAGGGAAGGGCGGATGGGATGGCTGTGCAGCTGACCTGACAGCAGAAGGAGCGAGGACACCTGACAGACAGACAGACAGATGCACCGTGTTATGTTATGTTTTATTATCTGGTGCATGAGTGTGTGGGCTGGTTGGTGAGGTGCGTCGTCCCTTTCACTCACCGGTCCTTGCAGAGGCAGCCAGGCAGCCAGCCACGATGGATGCGAGAAACGAGACACATGGAGAGAGAGAGAAGGGAGAGAGAGAGATGGGTTTGTCACTCACGGTGCGTATGGGCGTAGAAGCTTACGGCGTGTGTATTGTATAGCTGTGTGTGTGAGATGGAGAAGGCGGACTTTGTCTCTCTGTCGCTGCTGGGGCCAGGCACTGACTGACACGGCTGAACACAAGCCAGCCCACAACTAGTGCGGGCTGGCTGGCCGGTGTTGCTGCAGCGGGAGCAGGATCTGACTGCCACAGGGAGCAGCCTAGCCTGCCTTTACTAAGAGAACATTAACCTGATGGTGTCAGTCAAACATTCACGACAAGTCGCATGAGTAGCCACCAATTTAATGAGTCAAGGCGACAGCAGTGTGGGGCTGCAGTCATCCCCTCCCACAACCAACACATTCTGACTCCCACACGCCTGCACACACAAACCACCCACACTCCATCCACATGGGCATACGCACGCGGACATTCTCTCTCTCTCTCTCTCTCTCTGACCTTCATGCAGTGGATAGCGGCCCCTCCCATACTCCCCCGCACCGTCCACAGCACACGTGCCTCCCGGAACGACGCACACACCACCTTCCCATCAGCCGTCCCGAAACACGCCACATCGGTGTCGCTATGCGGCAGTGTGCAGCCGCACATGACCTGCCCGCTCACAGGGAGGGCGGTGCTGCAGCTGGAGGGGTCTGCCTGTGTGTCGGGCTGGCGCAAGTCATGCAGGAGCACCTTGCTGTCCGCAGCACCTGGTGAATACGAAATGCAGCCATATGGTGAGGGAGACACCAAAAGGAGAGAGAGAGAGAGACATGTACCTGTCCATAGAGTGTGGGGGTGCGGCCCCTGCATGAGGGCATTGATAGCGGCGTCGTGCCGTCGGTACCGCCGCACAGCTGACGCTCCGCTACCTACCCGGCCGTCAATGTAACACACCATCCTGAATGAACAAACAAACAAACGAGGGAACATCCTCCACACCGCACCAGCAGACATCAGTGGGTGTCTCTCTGTGTGTCTCTTGTCTGTGCACACATAGGTACCTACCCGTCCTGCATGCCCGCCGTGGCCACCAGGGGGCCGGGCGTGTCCGGAGAGCCAAAGAAACACAGCTTGCTCACACACCCCTGCTCAAAGAACATCACACTCACCCACGCACAGACACACATGGACAATACTGAGTGAGTGAGACACATGACAGAATCCATATCTCCATATGTCACGTGCCTGGTGTGGCTTGATGGAGCGGAGCGGCTTTGACGGATCGTTGATGTCCCAGAAGACCAGGGTGCCGTCCTTCCCCCCACTCACCACCGCCCGCTGCTGCCAGGTGAAGGCGTTGACAGGGTGCTTGTGTGCCCCCCGCATCTCCGCCAGCTGCTTGCCGGGACCCCTGACGTCCCACACCAGCAGGCCACCATCGTACGATGACGAAACCATCACATTACCTGGAACAAGGCACACAAGAGGTATAAGGGAGAGAGAGAGGTGCCGGTGGTGTGGAGTTGATGCACCCACTGTTGTCGACTTCGATTTGTGTGATGAGGGCCGAGTGGCCGGTGAGGTCGTTGCACCGCACGCCCGTCTTGTCCCACAGGCAGATGCGGCTGTCGTGCCCGCCAGACACCACACGGCCATCCCTGCAGCACAAAGCAGACAGCCCCAAGTGAAGACACACACCAAAGACAAACGCTGGAACGTGGTGGGGCCAGTGTCTTGAGGGTGTCATGTACGTGTTGATACATCTTACGCGGTGAATTGGCAGGCGGTGACCCATTCGGTGTGCCCATATCGCTTGGCGAACAGCTCACGCATGAACTCACGACTGCGAAGATTGAACAACCGCAGGCCTGCACGGTAGCACAAAGAAAGGACAAAACCGTATATGTGACTTGTGTGTGTTTGTGGGGCTGGCTTCGTGCTCACTCACCATGGTCGGCTGATCCGGTCACCAGCAACTCATTGTGTACAGCGCAACACAAGATCTGACAAACAAAAAACGGCACACGATGGCAATCGTGGATGTGACACATGAATGGTATGGTTCTTCTCATAATACCGGTCTTCCGTGTCCCTCAGGCAGCGTTTCGCCCTGCTGGGGAGCCTTGCGCCACATCGATGTCCGGGGGGGCTAACCGGAAAACTGAGATCTTTGAGCTCGCTCCGTCAGTTTGAAACGTTTGAGCCCTTTTTGCAGAGCGCATTGCCTGGTTTCTGGCTGCCTGTGGCATCCCTCATCGGTGTGGTCGATGATGATGCTGCCGGCGGACCAGGCGGTGCGTGCGTCGGGCGGCGAGGTGCCGCACGTGGAGGATTCTAAGGGGTCGGTAGAGATGCTGGCGGACCTGCTTGAGATGCACTACCTGATGAAGAGGTAGGTGCGGTGGGCCCCTGAATGACGAGGGAGAGGGAGGGATGTGTGGATGGATGGAATGGAATGGATGGCATGGGCCGGAAATGGCCATGGTTGCGTTGTGTTGTGTCGTGTGGCTGGATGGATGGATGGATGGGAGGATGGACGGTCTCTGTGTGTTGTGTGCGTTGCAATGGAATGCAATGGAATACAGGTATGAGGAGGAGCGGATCAAGGATAAGTTGACGGACTACTTCAAGATAGACCAACCCTTGCCCCACGACTGGTAGGTGCAAGGATGGATGGATGTGGGTGAGAACGCGCGAGCCCATCCATCCCACGACGCTATCCAATGGTTTTTTCTTCGTCTTATGTCGATGCCATTACCATCAGGGTCCGTGAGGCTGAACACCGGGCCCAACAGAGAGCCAAGGAGAAGTTCTCGGTGAACGAACTCGACACATCAGAAGAGGACAGAACCATGGAAGTCTCCCATCTATCCATCCATCCATCCATCCATCCATCCATCTGTGGCTTCGCTTCTTTGTTTGTGTGTGCAGCAATGGCGTGTGTTCATGGAGACGTATCGCAAGCTGCTGGACCACGCCAAGAGCCGCCACAGGGAGGCCATCTGGAAGCCCGGCAACGTACCCACAGAGGAGGACAGGAAGGAGCCACCCTCACTGCGGCAGGTGGCAGTGGCCGGCGGACATCTCGTCGGACAGGTGGGGGAAGAAAGGTCTACTGGGGATGGGGTGGGGTGGGGGGATGTTGTTTCTTGATGTCATGTGTGTGTGTGTGTGTGTGTGGTGTGTGTCAGTTTTTGTCAGGTGGGAGCGTTGGTCAGGTGCATGTAGCTCTGAGGCTGACGGATCGACACAGTGAGCAACACACCCACGGTTGCCTGGAGCTTCGTTGCCTTGAGGCAGGTGTGGCTGTCTGGCTGTGTGTGTGTGTGTGTCGACAGCTGCGAGTCCCCAGTTTGTGGCGGCCAAGCTCACCCACATCCGACCACAGTCGCGTACGTCAAGAAGGAAGAATGACAGACACCCCACACCCCACATCCATCCATCCATGGGTTCTTCTGCATGGTGCTGTGTGCCCTTCTGTGTGCAGGTACTGAGGCGTTGCGTCACTGGAATGAGGAGGTCGACAACTGGTCACTGCTCAAACACGAACACATCGTCAGGTATGCACACACACACACCCCGACCACACACATGAGTATCCCCCTCCCCCCACCCTTGTCCGTGTGTGTGTGTGTGTGTGTGTGTACCTGTCTGTGTGCGTGTGCAGGTTGTTGTCGACCTCCCACAGTGTGCGGAGCAGCCCTATTGCGCTGGCGTCGACGACCCCCGAGGCCATGCAGATCCAGGGGTGCACCGAGCTGGTCGTGGCATTCATGGAGTACTCACAGGAGGGAGACCTCTGCAGACTAGTCAGGTTCGCACGCACATGGGAATATGAAGGGAAAAGGTAGGTAGGCAGTATGTATGTTGATGTGTGTGTGTGTGTATGTGTGTATGTGTGTGTCAGGGACCACACGTACCTCAAGCCCGAGCTGGCGCGGCGGCTGTGGGCGCAGGCGGTCAGCGCCATCTGGTACCTCCACGAGACTCACGGCATGGCACACAGAGGTACGTACTTACCTTCATCCCTCACCCCTCCCCTCATCCCTCCCCTCACCCCCACACGCATCCATCCCTCCAATCCATCGATGTCTATGTGTGTCTCTCTGTGTCAGACATCAAGCCCGAGAACTTCCTGTTGTTTCGCGAGGCGTCGGACAGTGCCACTGCGGGTCAGCAGAGGCGCAAGAAGACCCCCCAGGCCAGCCCGTCGGCGTCATCCTCCATACTCACTAGCGCGGCGGCTGCTGGCAGCAGCTCCCAGCAGAACCACCACCAGCTGACACTCAAGGTCGGTCGATGGCGGGCCGCCCACACACTCACACACACGTGGGAAATGGGCACTGGTGTGCGTATGTGTGACATCTCCTTGCTCGCGTCAGTTGTGCGATTTCGGCATGTTGAAGCGTTTCAAGATGGAGGCCAACGGGCAGGAGTACATCCTCAAAGCCGACGACCTGCAGGTCAGTCCATTCTCCACACCCACCCACCCACCGTATGTCTCTCCTCACCCCTTGCGCACGCGTGTGTGTGTGTGGGGGGGTATGTGTGGGTCTATGGTCAGGGTACCTTCACCTACAATGCGCCCGAGGTGCTGTGGGCGGGACACGCCAACATCGACCCAAACACCATGGAAAAGAAAAACTCCACGCGCGTAAGAGAGACCACACACACACACACACACACACACAGAGAGAGAGAGAGAGAGACAGGTGGGCGCGTCTGTGTCTGTGTGTGTGGCTGGTCAGAACTATTTGTTCGACCTGGGGCCTGCGGACATCTTCTCGCTCGGCGCCACGCTCTTCGCCATGCTCTTCGGCACCGTGCCCTTCGGGGTCCTGGAGCGCAAACCAGCCATGCAGGCCTACCTGGTACACCACACAAACAAAGTCACGTCACTCACCCTACCGACCAGACCAGACACACGGACTGCCGAGCCCCCAATCAGCACACTCCTCATGTCATCTGTGTGTGCGTATGTGGGCATGCAATGCAGGACGTGATGAATGGCGATTTCAAGGACTTTGCCGACATGCAGGCGGGCCACCTCTCCCCCGGCCAGAAGGACGAGATCTACGACCTGCTGGCCAAGGTGCTGTTCAAGCATCCCGACGGCCGCGCCACCTTCGAGGCCATCGCAAACCACCCCTGGATGGCGGCAGACAAGAAGTTCGTCAAGCGACCCGCCATGAAACTGTGAGTGAGACACACAGACAGAGAGAGGGACCACACACACTCAGAGGAAATGAAATGACGGGTGTGGTGGCATATGGTGGGAATGGTGTGTGCGGGGTGTGTAGGTTGAAGGCTACGGGTCGGCTGCGCCATCCCACCACTCAGGAGGGGGCACATTTCCACCACCACACCCTCGTGCCCTCCACATCACAGATACTCTGGGTGAGTCGGCACAGAGAGAGAGAGAGAGAGGGAGATAGCTTACACATCAACCTCTCTGTGGCCCGGCCGTGGGTGCGTGCGCATGACTGCGATGCAGCCACTGACGCCCGCAGCGTACCAGCCCCCCCTGCAGTTCACACACCTGGCCTACGGCACCCCACACGTCCCCGCCGACACTCGCCCGGGGCTGCCGCACCTCTGCGCCATCCCTGTGGTCGACAGAGGCCTGCCAGTGCACCGCAAAGCCAGCGGACCACACGTACGGGACGTGACCAACACTCACTGCCCTGCCTGACACATCACATGACGCTCTTCTGCCGTTCTCTTGTGTGTCTACACATATCAGATTCCGCCCCCAGTAGCTCTGGTGCCCCCTCCGGCCGCTGCCGTGCCGCCATCGATGTCGCCGCAGGCGCCGTTGCGTGAGCTGGGGGCGCCCCACCCCCACCCACACTCCCGTGCCATGGCCATCCAGCCACAGCCGCACCCACAGACACATGCACAGCCGCAGCCGCAGCCGCAGCCGCAGACGCCCTCCCGCCCCGCACACAGGGAGATCATGCAGTCGCCCGCCGACCAGACGCCCAAAGGCAAAGAAACGCAACACAAGGGCACAGGTGCGGACACACGAATGAATGGATGGATGGATGGATGGATGGCAAACACACACACCTGACATGACATCTATGCATCGATACCCTGTTGCCGTTGGTGTGAATGATCAGGCCCTATCCCCGCCATGAGCCCCCTGCCGGCTCTCACCAAGCGGCCTGGGGAGGGAAGCCCGCCCTCCCGCAATGGCAGTCCCGACTCGCCATCGTCCTCCTCATCCAGCGGCGGCAGCCCCATCATGGCCATCGGCAATGTCGGCATCAGTAGAGTCGGCGGAGGGCGGGCCAAGCAGGCCGGCAGGCACCACCCCAACCTCGAGCCAGTAGCAGAGGTGACCGCCGAGGCCAATGGGCGGACGGAGGACAGCAAGGCGGCGTCTCCCAGAAGTGTCGTCACCCGCCCCACGCCCCCCAAGGCACCGACCCTCCAGACCAAGACCACCACCAACACCAGCGGCAGCTCTCGCACCGACACGCGTGAATCGGAGGACAACAACAGGACGGGCGGCGATGATGACCAGCAGCCCCAACCCCAGGCCCAGGCCCAGCCCACACGGCCCAAAAGCGTGCCGAAGATCGCAGCAGCAGCTGCAGCTGCAGCTGCAGCTGTGGCCAGGTCAGGGGGCGGGGGAGGGGGAGGGAAAGCGACGCCCTCGTCTTCAGGGGCGGCTGTGGTGGGAACCGGCAAGGCCAAGGCGCCCGCGCCCAAGCAGCAGGGGGTGGCGAGTCCTGCGCGTGCAGCCGATCTGAGTGCAAGTGTGGGTGTGGGTGTGGGTGTGGGTGTGGGGGCGAGTGGAGGCGGGACGGGGGGACAGGAGGGGGCGGGGAGCAGTAGTGCCGCTGCTGCTGCTGCTAATGCCGGTACTGCCGGTTATGGTGTGGGGGTGGGTGCCGCCCAGCAGAGGCATGCTGCGGCCAAGGCAGCTGATCTAGGAGGGGCGCCGCGGGCTGCTGCTGCGGCGGGTGGTAGTGGCAATGCTACCAGGCCACGGCCGCCGATGAGCTTCTTTCAACCGCAGAATACGCCCCACGTACACAGATCCACGTAGCCACACATCCACATGCATTCCAGCCCCACTCGTGGGTGGTGTGTGTGTCTCTCTCTCTCTCTCTGTGTGTGTGTGGCGCCGTGTGCAGCGATCGACAGTCGGCCATCTCCCGGTGCTAAACGGCCCCCGCAGCACGGGCAGTGGCATGCAGAACACGACCAATACGGCCATCGAGGCCAACGACACCAACAGCCCCGAGCCGGTGCCCATCCCCTCACCGATGCCGTACCTACCCAACCACCCACACCCACAGACGGGCCGCATGCAGCCCACGCCCTTCGACCGAAGCCGACTGGGAAACTACGGACCCGCATCGCAGTATCGCCCACAGGGTGAGCAGAGATACAGGGAGGGGGATCTGGCATATGTCTGTATGTGTTGGTTTGCTCGTTCTGTGTGGATGTACGAATGTGTTAGTGATGGCAGCGTATCACCCGGTGCCTCCGCGGGGCCCCAGCGGCATGAACGCCATGGCTCCTTCCCCCACACCTGCCAGATTCCGCGAGCAGGTAGGTATGCAGTCCAACACACAAACAGACAAACAGCGGTCCACACATCTTGTCTTGCCGATCCATCCATCCCGGCCCCTCCTTCTGTGTCCTGTGTGTCCACACCACCTCAGCAGCGCCCGGTGACCCCCGCACCCAAGGGCGCCATGCGAGTGCATCATCAGCTGCAGTCCCCCGACCACCACCAGCAGCGTGCGGCCCGTCCAGTGCTGCACCATGCGCCGGCGCCCAACTCGCCCTTCGGCAGTGGCATCAGCGGGCTATCCAACGGCAGTAGCGGCAGTAGTGGTGGGGGGCAGGTGAGAGTGCCGGTGCATCATCAGCCCGTGGGTGGGGGTGTGAGCGGGGGTGTCATGAGCAAGAACCCCAGTGTGGCCGGTGTGTATGCCACGACACCTGGCGGCTCGGGGAGTACATCGAGGGCTGCGCCGAGGTACGTCAAGTGGCACTACAGCCAGCGAGAAAACACGCGGGCAACAAATATGGTTGTGTGTGTGCGTCAGTGTGGCGTCTCGTCCGATGCCTGGTGCGTCCCGACCGGATCAGGGGCCCTACGTGTTCCACTCTAGCCACGGCAGTGTGTCGGGATCGAGCGGCGTGGTAGGACCCAGGACGTCATCCCTCACCGACCCTTCTCTGCAGACGCCACCACCAGCCATGGGTCCACCCATGGTCTTCAGACTACCACCTGGTACGCACGGGAAGGGAACCGGTCGTTGTGCTGTGATGGTGTCCCATTTTTCTTTCTTTCTGTGTGCATGTGGTGTCTTGTTTGTTCAGGGGCTCCGCCGCCCCACCCGTACTACGGTGCTGGTGGAGGGCCGCCGATATTCCCCGGGTACCCGCAGGCCATGTACCCCAAGACACCGCAGTCCAAGACGCTGCACAAGCGATGATCATCACACACATACAGAGAAAGACACAGACGAATGGGCGGATACATCCTGCAATGATGGGAGGGAGGGAGGGA